GTACCATTTAAAAAAAAATCTTTTATACCATTATTTGTACTGTACTGTTTCTTGTTTGGATATGTTTAGATACACAAATACTTACCATTGTATTGTAGTCGCCCACAACATTCAGTATAATAGCATGCTGTACAGGTTTATAGCCCAGGAATAATAGACTATACCAAATAACTAGGTATCTACTAGGCTATACCACCTAGGGTTGTATAAGTACAATGATGTTCATGCAATGAAATTACGTGATGACAGGTTTCTCAGGACATATCCCCACTATAGCAATACATGACTATATTGTGTATTTGGGAAAAAAAGTTAAAAAAGATGAAAGCCCAGTCTAGGGCAGAAGATATGCCAATATCCAATATTGCCTTCTGCTATGGTTTGAATATGTCCTCCAAAAGTTCATGTGTTGAGACACTGTGGCGGGATTAAGAGAGTAAAATTTAACAGACTATGATGTTGAAAGGCGGGACATTTGAGAAAAGATTAGGATTAGGGTCATTCGGGTAGGGCCCACATTATGGACTCCTGGTGAGTTTATAAGAAGAAATGAGATAGAGAAGCATAGACTGAGATGATGTGCTCTGCTTTTACCCTCATAATGTCATGCCTTCAGATTCTGCAGGACCCTCCACAGTTAAGGCCCTGGACCTTGGACTGCCAAACTATGAGCTTAAAAAAAAAAATAAATAATTAAAACCACCCTCTGCTTGTGTAAGTCACCCAGGTTCAGGTACTTCCTGTTATTAGCAATAGAACAAGCTAAGATACCTTCCTACCACATCCTCTCTGACGGCCACAGCCAGACAGCCTGTTAGTACCAAATAAACCCTTTGGCCACTGCCACTGTGCTGCTTCAAGGAGGATCAGACCCCAGGATGAGCAGCAACAAATCCTAGACCTGAGGATTTCATATGTGGCCAAAGAAAGATGGTGGGATGGGCAAGGGTGCTGTGGAGAATTGAGCTGGAAGGAGGCAATGAGGTGGCCATTGGGGCTGGGCTGGGCTGGGCCACGATAAATCAGGTCAAGGGTTGGGGGCAGAGAAGGGATAACTAAGCAAAGGAGGCTGGTCTGCTGAGAGAAGCTGCAGTGACACCACAAGGTTCTATAAGCAATGGACGGCAGGGGTCGCCTCTTTTGGTGCATAACTCAGTTTCTGTGAGTCTTGGTCATGTGTGGTATCTGGTCCTTATTGCAGGCCTTCCATAACCTCCCTATTAATGTGAACTACTTTAGGAGGGGTTTTGAATCATACACCCAAAGGGGCTCAAGTGAAAATATTTACTTGCTGTCATGAGTAAGAGTTGGATTTAAAGTGATTAAAAATGAGGACTCTGTCCCTACTCAATCCAATGAGAAAATATAGAGAGCTACAACTTTGCCTCACAGACTTGAGTCCTAATGTCTCTGAGTTCTTTTTGGCTAATATATGGCTCTGGCTACCTGGGTTGCTTGGTGAGAGGTTCTAGTCCATCAAGACATAAATATGCCTGTGACCACGACTCATTCCAACAATGCATCAGTATGATCATTCTCACTCACCAAGAAAAATGTACTTACCTTTATTATTCCCAAGGATTCGATATCCTAAGAATTCGATTCAACAAATTATTTATTGAGCATATGTCAGACACTTCTGTTGTTTATACACCATTCCCCTACGCTTCCTGTTAACAGAATCCCAGCTCTTCCAGGAATCGAGTGGCTTCAGACTTTAGAAAGGCCAGCCACCTTTCGAACTGCAGGGATTAGAAGCAAGCGAAGCACCTTACAGCCCATGTAACACACGGGAAAAGTCACTGGGGGCGACTCTGATGGCTTTCCTTGGTTTTCACAGGAACACAGGGAAGGCTCATGCTGTCATTGGGCATGTTAGTGTGTGAAGATGTCCGTGATGCTTGGGATCACAGCACTCAACCTGTGACCTGAGAACTCACTGGAGGACAACAGCTAATACCCTCAGGATGGCAGAGCAGGGAACTGGAAAGACCCTACATCCTTGATGATGTCACCCCTGAACATCAAACTAACCAACACGGAACTTCTCCCACCTCTGGACTCTTCCATCTGTAAGATAGTCAGTGCCCTTTGCTCTAAACCAAGTGAGGTTGGGCCTACTATGATTTACAGACCAGAGCCTCCACTTTGTACAAAGACTTGCTCGGCACCACGTACACATGAGAGAACCGAAAGTCGGGTGTTTAGTTTACACCTTTTGGGGGTCAGAAGACATGTGCCTAGGGACTGATTAAATGGCTGCAGATGGCAGGAAGATAGGCAGGTCTGGATAGACCAATATGCATTTTTCTCTGCCCTGCATGGACCAGGTGGCTACAGCTGGCAAGTGTGAAACCTCAGTTACAGGAGTACTCGGTGCCATAGAAACGCCTCCACCAGGGACCTGGGCAACCGCCTCAGCAGCCTGTCAGTGAAGCAGGAAATGACGAGGGCAAAACCTTTTTTCCAAAACAGAGTTGAAAGGCACCCACTACCTCAGAAGCAACAAAATCAGAGATCCTCAATCTCGATGAAACCTGTCCCATTCTTAACACCCCTGTGTGGCACAGCTGCTTAGCAACCAGGGGCCAAATAGGACGGGGGAGGGCTGACCAACCCGTGAGTGTGCGCAATGAAAGGGCCTCTTAATCTTTAGCCAACTGAGTGAGTGCCAGCTCCTCACTGAGTGTTAGGCCAGGAACATTGAAATGAAGATGTTCCTGACACAGCTGCCCCCATGAGGTGCCTGGGGCTGGGTGCTGACACAGACCAATGTGGTGTGGCATGAGGAGCAGCATCCTCTGGAGGCTGCAGAAGAGTCTCAATCCCTGCCAGGGGGGCAGGAAGTGCTCGTGCCAGGGGCTGCCACCATGTACCAGGCACTGTTTCTGACCCTTCCCAGAAAGCACCTTACTTAACTATCACAGTGACAGAGAGGTGGGTGTGGTCATCCTGTGCTGTGGACAAAGACCAAGAAATCGAGATCCTAAACAACGTGTTTGAGGTCATACAATGAATCTCAGCTGGAATTCTTGCCCAGACCTCCCACCGCTAAGCTTCCTTAGTATTCCTCTCTTTAGAGAGCAGGTAGTATTTTGAGTGTGAGTTTTCTGGGCAGACAGAAAGGTAAAATACAGTAGCTAAGAGGAGGATTAGAGTTCATAGAGCAATAAACCTGAGGAAGGATGCTCTGGGCCCATCTGCTCCCACCTGGGGTGATGAAGAACCAGGACAGTATTGTATCTCTTTCTCTAGCAGTGGATGGTTCCCTAACAACCTGCAGATGTTAGCTAGTGGCTGATAAAAGCTTCAGGATTGGAAAGCAAGTTGGCTTTGCCAAGTAGGGTTGAAAACGCACACCCCACAACACAGGTTTCCTCTTAGGTATAATACACGTGTGTGTGTGTATCAGGAGACCAGTACAAGAGTGTCCAACAGTGGCCTCATGTATCCAACAACCTGGAAACCACACAAATACCCTAATGCAGTGTGGTAGAGAAATAATTTGTGTATTTGACAATGGGGTGCTCAACAACAGTGAAAATGAAAAGAAACATAGCCACGTGTATTAGCATGGGTGAACTCCACGAACGCAATGTTCAGTGAAGAAGCAAGACATAGGACCAGCAGTTGGCATAATGGCTATGTCACTGGACTCCCATATAGTCCACTGCAGATTCCGGACCTGGTGGTCTAAACTCACGCTGGGTGCATGTGCGTGCCTGCCCAAAATCCCAAGAGGAGAATGGAGGAAAAGGGATTGCGGTGTGGCCATCCCCCCCGGGGGGTGATTTCTCACCTTCTGTCTGTCTCTCTCTGTCTTTCTGGTGAGTGCACGCAGCTTACAGCAAAAAAACTCTCCAAAACAACAACAACAACAACAAAAACAAGAAGCAAGACACAGAAAACATTCAAAATGGGACTGCCTATATAAATTGCTAGAACATACAATACAAAACTCCACTGGTAAGGATGTTTAGACTGTGAAAACTAGACTGAGAAACAAGGGACTGGTAAAAGTCAGGATGGTGGTTTCTCCTGGGGAGGGACAGCCAGCTGGAGGTGACCTTGGAAGGAAGCCCAGGGGATGTTAGTGATATTGGGGATTTTGCTTCAGCTGGGGACACAGAGTCTATTTTATTGTTCTCTGTCTCATAGAGACACTACATAAATATTTGTGTTTCTGTATAAATATGTGTGTATAATTATTATATATTTATTTCTATATGTGTAAAATATTTCATGGGCAAAACCTAAGAATAGTATAGCTAGCTTGAGAAGAAGAAAAAAAAAAGCCATCTCAGATGCAATTTCAAATGTATTTTCCACTCGAAACATTTCACTATAACTCAGCCAGACTCAGCTTCATCACCTGGGACAAGCCTAGCGGCTGGTGTCAAGCTCTGGGCAGTTTCTTTGAAAACAATTTGCCCAGAAATGCACTCTTGGACAGAGTTGAGGTTCTGAATTTTAACAGCCTGCTGGGCTAGATGGTCCCTTCCTACCCTCAGTCTTCACCAGAGCTTTGGCAGCTCTGACCCAACCCTCAGCAGGGTTTGAGTCTAATCCTAGACCATGCTGGTTTCTCGACAGACAGCTGAAACGTAAGTTCAAGACTCCTGGGCCGGGCTCCACAGGCATGGCTGTTTTTCTCACCTTTACTTGGGAAGCACAGGACAAAGAGACCACTCCTGCATGAATTCCACAGCAGCTGCTGGGCTCACTTCCCTCACCCATTCATCCAGCATCTCCCTCTTGCTGTTACATTAAAGCTCAAAAAATCTTGATCCTGAGCTCCAAGGCCACAAGTGATTTGCCTTTTGCTGGCCCCCATTGTCTTGACATACTGTAACCCAGGCCTGCTGGCCTTTTTTCTGATCACCCATCAAACCCTGGTGTGTGTCAGAGCCTGCTCCCTGTTGCTCCCACCTCTTGCCAAGTCTCAGGTAACCCCCACTCTCTATTTTCTTGGTATAAAAGAAAGAATATACGTGAAGTACCTGGCATGGAGTAGGTGCTCAATGAACAGGAGCTGCTCTCCTGTTACTATGGTCCGACTTGTACACTTTCTGGCTGGATCTTGTCCTCCTTTCAGCCAGTCTCCTGCTGGATCTGGAGTTGGGATGACCTGGACCTGAAAAAGAAAAGATAATCAGACAGAGCTTGGGGAGAAAGGGAACCATCTAAGAATCAAAGGGATGTCTGCTTTGGAAGAAAAGGTCAGAAAGTAGGGAGGTGGGGACCAGCAGATGGCATAATGGTTACATCGCTGGATTCCCACATGGTCGACTCTACTTCAAATCCTGGACTCGGAGACTTCAAACTCACGCTGAGCTCATGAGTGTGTGCATGTCTAAAGTCATGAGAGGAGACTAGAGGAGAAGAGATTGTGGTATGGCCAACTCCCCAGGGGGTGATTTCTCATTGTCTCTCTGGTGAGCACATGCATCCTGTTACAAAAATCTCTAAAAAATAAAAGAAAATATGGGGGTGTTTCTCTAGGTGACATGGACCATGTGGACTAAGGAGGAGCTACTAGAGTAGAGGGGCTTGTGCTTACCCAGGGGAGGGGACAGCCTAGAAGGCCACCAACCACTGGTCTTACAACCTCTAGGAACAGAGAGAAGGGCAGGTGGTAGCCTTGGAGTTATTCAAGGGCAGTGTGGGAGAGCTCTACTGGGCTTTGATAACAACATCTGCAGGGTGCGGACACTCTCATCAGCTACTAATTCAGCAGGTCAAAAGCAGCAAACCACGTTCCCGAGCCCAGAAGAGTTCCCTTCACTGTGAGTTATGTCTTCAGCCTCCAGCTCGCTGTGGGTCTGGGCAGGAACACACCACGCTGCACACGCGCTGTAATTTCCCAAAGGTGGCGTTCCTTATGGTGACTGACAGGCCGTTGTTAATACCCACTCAGCTGCTCCTGGAGCCCAGCTGTAATTGTGGGTTTTGGGGGAAGGGCCAGTTTTCCTTTTGGAGAAATGAGGCCAGGGAGAGGGGAAAGGTGAGGTTTCAACCCTGAAAAGGTGAAGAGGGGCCTCACACCTGTCCTGACAGTTGCCTGGGACACTGTGTGGGGTGTCAGAGCAGCTGCTCCAAGGCCGTTCCACTGGAGAGTGACAGGGACCATGGGGTGCCGCTGTTTAATCAGAAACTTGCTAGGTTTTGGCTTTGAGGATTAATCACAGGTGACATGAGATATCCCAGGGCTGACAGAAGCTGCTCTTGTCGAGTGTCAGCTTGGGTCAGAGTGAGCTGTCAGAGGCCCTTGGCCCCGGGGAGGTGGCAGCGATGTGCATCTTTGGAGGACACCCTCTCCTTGGTGTCCTTGTGGCTACCCTGCTCCATGGCTGGAACAGGAACAGTCACATGGCTGCCCAAGGCTGTGGCCAGGGCAGGGGAGGAGGCATGTTGCGGAGTGCCCCAGCAAAGATCAGCGGGGCAATCCACAGGCCAGTGAGTGAATGTGAGGGAAATTATACTCTTTTGCATTTACATGCTTTTTCTTTTTTCTTTTTAAGAAAACACTGTTTTTTTTACTATCAGAATAAAAGGCACTTAAAACAAGGAATTCTTTAATTTTATTTATTATTTTTTTGAATTATTTTATTTAACTTTATTTATTTATTTTAATTTGACCAGAGAGGGACAGAGTGAGAGTGAGAGAGAACGAGCGAGGGAGAGAGAGAAAGTAAGAAAGCAAGCCGCCAGGTCTGAGACTCGAACCTCAGACAGTCGTGTGGGAGTCCAGCGCTCTTACCCACCATGCCACCTGCCGATGCTTTTATTATTATCATTTTAAATTTTCTATAGGGCACATGGATTCAAAAGAGAGAGAGAGAGAGAGAGAGAGAGAGAGAGAGAGAGAGAGAAAGCTGCCAGGTCTAGGACTCAAACTGTTGTCAGCCACGTGGGAGTCCAGTGCCTAATCATCATGTCACCTGCTGACCCCATATAAGGCATTTTTTAAATGATAAAAACCAAGGTTTTAATTGTAAGAAAGAAAAAATAGGTGTGTACAAATGCCCTTGATGTTTCACTTTCCCACCATGTATGTCAATATAGGTCTGGAAAATGGAGGTTCAAGACAAACATTAAAGACAATGAACTTTCTGTTTCTGCCCTTGGCATTTTTACTACAGCCTTTGAGAATTTGGTCCTAAGTTAAGGGAAAAGTCCTAGGATTTTGTTTGGATAAATTAATCTCGTAATCATTTGAGAGACTGACCTATAGGTATCACATTGAACTGACAAAAACATCACCCCTTCTGCTGATGAACTATTCACTGTGTGCCAGGCACTTTGTTAAGCATAACTGATAAACCTCAGGTACCTTGAGGTAGATGGTATCATCATCACCATCATCATCATATTTTAGCCAAGAGAATATGAGCCCAGAGAGCTTCAAGGTCATATAATGAGCATAAAAGGTAGGATTTGGATCCAAGGTTCTCTGACTTGCCCTTAGTTACCACCACACAACCTCTAATGGGCTTTATATTTATTTATTTGAGTTTGCTATAGGGCATGTGTGCTAGTCAGAAAGTCTCTCAGGGGGATGGCCATGCCACAGTCTCTTCTCCTCCATTCTCCTCTAGGGAGTTTGGGGACACAAGCACATGCATCCAGTGTGTTTTTCAAGCCACCACAGCTTGAACCTCACAGTCAGCCTTGTGGGATCCAGCTGCCTTCTCCTCCATGCCACCTGCTGGCCCGGATTACTATTATGATTTTTAAAGTTTACTTTTTAAAAGAAAGCATGTGTACAAAAGATTCCTGACATGTCCCTTTAACATATAAAACTCCTGCTTCAGACCCCCGGGGTGCTCTTTCTCTCAATAAACTTTCCTTTTTCTCTTGGAAAAAAAGAAAAAGAACGGAAGCCAAGTCCGAAGATGGCAGATGTTGGTTCAAGGTTAAAAAGAACAACTATTGCATCTCCAAAACGGAATCAGTTGCTTAGTGGATTATAAATTCCTTATCATCAGTGATATTCAAATGCAATCAATGCCCATTCACCCTACAGTGACGCCTATTAGTTGACAAGCAGAATGTAGATTTTTGTTGCCTCTCACTTAAGAATAAATGGGGAGCCAAGGATCACTTGATATTTGAGGAAAGTCTCCACGTGAAAGGCAGAGATCAAAAAAGACAAACTGACACTGGGAACCTGCAGGAAGCAGACAATGGAGTAAGAGAAAACTTAAAAGAACACAACTGATACTTAATATCCAATAAAAGATAAGACATTACATCCATGAAACAATAGTAGGATGCTATGAAAAGAGATCAATCAAAGAACAAGAAAGGGTTTTCAGCAACTAATAATAAGGTAGTAGAAATTTTAAATCAATAGAAGCTTTGGAATATAAACTTCCAAAAAGTTACAGAAAAAGTGAAAGAGGAAGAAGAAAGAGAAAATGAGGTCAATTTAGAAGATCAAATATATAATAAATAAAAATCCTAAAAAAAAGATGACAGAGATTGTGTTTCTTTTCTTGTCTATCTTTCTGGAATATAATGTAAGTTAAGAGAGAAAATTACCAGAAGCATATTAGAGAATTCTCTGACTGTAGGAACACGAGTCTTTAGATTTACAGAGCCATTCACATGCTCAACACAAAAAGAACCTTCTCAGAGTACATCACTGAGATTTCAGGCTTCCAGGAACTAAGAGAAGACTTTAGAAGCCCCTAGGGGGAAAAATTTCAGGTTGCATGTGGAGGATTGGAAGCAAGAGTGGCATCAGATCTCTCAATAGCAATACTGAAGCTGGGAGATGGTGAGGCTATACCTTCCTATTTTTTGACAGAAAATGCCTTTACCCAGAATTTTAAAGCTACTCAAACTACTATGTGTGAAAATAAAATGGAGCTATTTTTAGAAAGGCAAGTGTTCTACATATTTATCTCTTATGTACCATTCCTTAGGAAAACCAAAGGATATGCTCCAGCAAAATGAAGGAATAAGGCAATAAAGAGGAAGGTATGGAGCTAGAGCATGGAATCTGACTGAAGAAAGCAACAAGGAAGTCCAAGAATGGAAGCCAAGCAACAAGGAGCAACTTGTCAAGATGACAGCAAGATCATGGAGGTTCCAGAGGGTGAGGATGGGGGGAGTGTTGCCAGGGTAAAAGTAATGAACTGATATATTTGATAATTTGGGAATTAATATTGTTATGCAGATGACAATCTGAGAGCCAGATTGGGGGAAAAATCAACAATAGATTCATTATAAAACAAAACAAAACTGAATGAATTTTTTTAAAAGGCAATATTAACTCTATGAGAAAAGTCTAGACAATCATAATACACAGCTTGCCTCAATATCAGCATTATTTACTGAGTCACAATAATGGTAAATCCCACCAATGATTTAATGCAAAAACTTATGACCTTCTGTGATGAGAGAATGGATGAAGGGGAAGTTCTTGGAGTGGAAACACAGATTTGGAGTAGGGTAGTAAAAAGATTACTTGCTTCCTGGACTCCATATTTTCCTCTTTATTGCTTTCCTCCCTCACTTTGCTAGAACATATACTCTAATAGCTGCTTCTGAAGAGGTATGTGGTATCTTCCATATGCCAGATCTAGTACTAAGTGTTCTACATGGACCAACCCTATGGGGTAGATACTACTGTCATCATTTTAAAGAAGAGGAAACAGAAGGTCAGAGAGGTTGTCCAGCAACTCGCCCCATTTCTGTCTCATCCTTGGGCCTTATTCTTAGTAGGTGGTCAATGTATATTTGTTGAGTGAATAAAGGAAAAAAAAAACCTATGAAATCTTGACTAAAATAAACAGCAAGGTTGCTTTTACTTCAAATCCAGAAATCACTAAGCCCTGTAGAAATGAGCTGCCTTTGAGGGATAGACACCTCTTCTTTCCAAGAGTTGCTCCAGTGTAAAAGCTTGGGATACAAAAGACAGTCAATGGTCAATCAGATAAATGCATCTCTGGGTAATTGATCTGCCTAGATGATTGGAGTGAGCAGCTTAGTAGGTAGCATTTAATTATTCCAATGAAACCTCCACTTAATTGAAAGGACTTCTGGCAAAAAAAGAAAGGGTTATTTAAAATGATGATCTACTACTACTCATGAGGAAAGACTGAAGAGACGCTGGTATACACCCAG